GGGGGGGGGGGGTAGCCAGTGACTGGAGCCCCAGGGTGCAGACTCACCCCCGGCCATTGGTGTGTTTGCTCACTTAACCCCAGGTTTCAAGCTGCCCTGCCAGCTCCACCAGGTCATCGTTGCTCGCTTTGCAGACGACGAGCTCATCATCGACTTCGACAACTTCGTCCGCTGCCTGGTCCGGCTGGAAACACTCTTCAGTAAGTGGCCGCCTGGGGAAGACCCAGCTCCGCGCTCCAGGCGTTAAAGCGGCCACCTTGCACGCGGGCGAAGTCCCGGGAGCCAGGGGCGTGTCTGTCCAGCTGAGAATGGAAATCCTTTCATTTGGGGAAGGAGGGACGAAATGATAGCTTGTGGCATTCAGTGGATCAGCCCCCAGATGGGGGAAAGAGATAATGTGGTGACATCCTGCTTTCCTCCCTCCACAGGGATATTTAAGCAGCTGGACCCTGAGAACACGGGAACCATACAGCTCGACCTTATCTCGGTGAGTCAGCAGCTAGCCCCCGCCCCCCTCACCCCTACGGGGACAGAGAGAAGAAAGGCTGTGACCTGGGTGACAGAGACCTATGGTTTATTTATTTATTTTTAATGTTTTTATTGAATTCAGAGAGAGAGAGAAGCATCAATGATGAGAGAGTCATTGATCGGCTGCNTTAATGTTTTTATTGAATTCAGAGAGAGAGAGAGATGAGAGAGTCATTGATCGGCTGCCTCCTGCGCGCCCCCTGCTGGGGATCGAGCCCGCAACCCGGGCATCTGCCCTGACCGGGAATCGAACCGCGACCTCCTGGATCCTAGATTGATGCTCAACCGCTGAGCCACACCGGCCGGGCCCTGCCGCTCTTGTTGGAGCTGAGCACTTGGGAGGCAGGACCTTGTCTTCTGTTTCCAGCGCGAACCGGAGAGGAGCCGGTGGTAGGAAGGCAGCTCCTTCCCTTGAATTTGCTGCTCTAGAGAAAACCAGTCACTGAATAGCTATTGACTCTCTTATGCATTATAAGCACCTTTAGCCAACTGAAAATATACCTGAGCTGGTTACAAGTAACAGGAACTTGCTTAAAACTCTGTAGCCTAGGAGACAGCCCTACCCTGAGATTAAAATCTCAAGCGAAGGCAACACAATGGACACAAACGTGCCATCTGGTGAGCTCTGGAAACTCGAGCCCCTTTATCATCGTTGCTGGGAATCCTACGCCTCCCCGGCTCCCAGCGGTCTGGCCGCCACCTCAGTCCACCCTCCGCATTTCCTCGGAGAAACATCTACCCACTGGCTCCCCCTGCTCTTCTTTTTTTAAAATATTTTTTATTGATTTTGAGAGAGGAAGGGAGAGGAAGAGAAACGCTGACCTGCTGCCTCCTACACAACC